AACTGAGGAATGCATAAAACAGTTGTGGTATTTGTATACAATGGACTACTACTCAGCTATAAAGAATGATCACATTTGATATTTGTAAATAAGACAGCACAGCTTGAGACCATACTCATAAGTGAAATAAATCAACCCTGCATCTATAAATACGGATTAGTTTCCCTAGTGTAAGGAATGGCAAGAATACATAAAATTATGTGGCAATCATAATTCCCCATTGTATTGCTTTGAAGCCTTATAATGTTTTCATTCATTAATTGGAATGATTTTATTCTGGGTGTTTTGATTCTATTGTCTGTGATGGTATGGCAGCTATTTTGAAGAAAAAAAGGCAATATAATACCTAGTGCTGATTTAATTTCATCTTGTTTTGAAGTCCCTTCAAGCTTTTGTTCTTCTGTCTTCATCAGTTTTATCTTATTGAATTTTATTATATGTGATAGTATAAACATTTTTATAGACAAAGAGATAATATAGAAACCATTGTTCATTTTCTGTTAGTTTCTTCTAAATGGCCTGTAATACTTTCATTCTCTTGAACGGTTTTACACTGTCATGTTATGTTTTATGTTATAGTATATGAAGATACACTCAAATAATTCAAGCAAAGAGACACTATGGTAACTACTGTTATGTCGGGTTATCTTGTGGTGAAACACTATGTTGCTTAAATTGTTCTGTTCTGACTTGTGTTGTTATATTGTTATGTTCTCTTTTATCTTAATCTCCTTTTTAAAATTTTTTAAATAATAAAATCTTTAAAAAAGATGACTGTACTCAGTTATTACTTGACCTTTGTAATTACATCATTGTATGATGTTTCATATTTCACTTATAATTAAATATCTGAAAAACATTATTAATATAAGCAGGACCAATATCAGGTTTTATTGTTTGTGAAACCCCTAAGTTAGCAAAAGCTGGTACACAATGTTGAATGACATGTTTAATTTTTTTATCAGAAGATATCTATAAAGACATGAAATTATTTCAGTCTGTTGAAAGAGGTTATATATGTAATATTTATTCAGCATAATTGATTAGTTTCAGTACTGTTGGGATAGCACTCTGTGGAGTAATATCATAGGAACAAACTGAAAGGTAAGAAATGACATCATGATTTGTCTACCTTGTGCTATGGTAAGTTTAAATTCTTTTCTCAGACATTTATAGTTATGATGATAAATTTGTAGGATTGTGCCAATGTATTAAATATTGAAACTAGACTAACAAGTGCATCTACATTGTAATTACTTAATGACAATGAACATGGGAGATTAGAATAGATTTTAATGTGATAATTAAATAACGGGGCAGTTTTACTGAATTCAGCCTTTAGCGGATTTAAAATTACTTCTAATAGGGTGGTTGAGGGGACCAAATTGTGGTTGTTCTTTTATCTATAGTATAAAATCTTTCACTTTTCATGCACACAAGTATTAATGCCCTTTATCATGATTCCAACTTCACTTTTACTTAGTTAAACTGAGGGTTCAATAAGCCATGTTACAATGCATGCCTGTCTACCATGGATGACACAGAGGAGTGGCAGTGACTAGGGGAGTCTAAGCCTATCAAAGTGTGGGAGTCGAGACTGAAAAATATATGCATCTATGATTGCTTGTTTACTATGGAGACATCAGTTCTCATATCCATCAACCTGGTAAGGGATTTTCTCTTTAAGTTATTAGTTTGTGAGTAGATATACTCTGGGAAAAATAAAGTTCATTGCTTAATGGCTCATTTCTAACAAGTACATATGCAGGTTTAAGGACAGGAGTGATATTTTCAGTGGGAATTAAAATTGGCTTTTCTCCTCCCAATGAATGAATGTAAGAAGACATGCATAAATCTAATTCTGCACTCTAGTGTCTCTGAAGGAATATGGAATCAAAGGACTTAGAGGGATTGTTGATTGTCTGATTGGGATTGGATACAGCTAGCTTAATTGGTTCCAAAGCACTGAAGTAAGAACTGTGTCTCTTATTTTTACTGAGGTTCTTTGTTGGGGCATATGATTTGTTTTTCTACAAGAGTGTGCAGTTTTTATGAAACTTAAGTTTGTGATCTTTCTTCCAGCATAAGCCTTTCATGAAATGAGGACACAGATTAGGCACAGCTTCAGTAACCAAAGAGCTGATGCTATTAGAGGCACTGTGCGGTGTTGGCTAGTATGAATGACCTATTTGCCACAATTAAATCATTGAATCAGATCAGATATATTGCCAAGGATTTGTGATGTAGCCTCTGCTATCAGTATAGAGGAATTGGGAGTGGATCCAAAATTTGGGCAAGCATGGAGGTAGAGGGAAAGCTGTTCAGTGTGAGCTATGCAGATTAATGCTTCTTTATACCCAATATTGGTGTTTTCTTATACTAACAAGCAAGGGAGCATTTTACCTGCAATTTTATGAGGGACCTGCCTGTTAATAGCTTCTCATAATCATCCTATAAATCAGTTCGGAGTAACTTGGAAAGATCTGAGTGAAATGTTATTAGATGCTCTTTCCTCTGGCTAGATATCCATGCATGGCCAGCTTAGAAGTTGTACACAGTGCATGAAAAAAGGGAAAGGATCAGGCTTGAAATTTTAAATTAGCATAACTTCCCATGCCAAATATCATTCCTGAGTAATGGCTTTTAAATTGTCATCTCAGCTATCTTGATTACTTTGAGCTTGTTCTGAAATGAATGAGTTTAAATGTGGTTCAAAATGTAGAAATTGCCCTGATGAGAGACACATGTTGGTGAGGTGAGTTACATCACCCAGTGGCATTTGAAAATCTTGAATTAATTCATCTAAGCAGCTCAGTATATGGGGAGTTTGGACTCCCTGGTCCAGGATGCTCTGTCTGTGTGCTTTTAAGAGTTAAAAAAATTAAGAGCTGTGTGCAATAACTGGAAAGCATTTTGTCTGGACACTTACCATATCATGGAACTTTTACTTTCTAGGGGTAAAGGAAGTCAGTGGTATTATTGACCTTATTTAGTTATATGTGAGAAGGAAGCACTGAGGCACCAGAAGCATTATCTTCTGAGATTGTGACTATATTGGAAAGGTTTTTCTTATCTTTACAACTTTAGTAACAGAACACTGGATTGGCCTCAATCATTTTGTTGTAAAGGCAGTACAGCCATATTGATGAGGCAAAAAAGTGGCTACAATTTTATGCTGGATTTCTTTTTTCTTTTGGGATTCAAGCTTTTAACTATACTGTCCCAAGCTGTCATATCAAGTGTCCCAGCTTTGGGAAGGAAAGATAGAATGTAGCTATCTGATGGAGCACTCTAAAATCTTGCACATTAAGATCTACATCTTTTAATAGCTTTATAATCAGTAGGCTGAAATCTGTCTCTTAGACAGGTAACGAATGCATTTCACCCCTTGATGCCCATAACAAATACATTCTTATTTACTACTTTGTCTGAGCAATATAATTAAAATACTGCAGCTGACCTTACAACTTGTCTCAATAAGGCAGAGTGAGTTGTCAGCAACAGTAGAGCAGTGTTTGTATTGCAAAAGTTGTGCATTGCAGAATCATGAACAATAAATATAATAATCTCTTTTTCTGTCCTCCTCCCAGTCCAGCAAGTTTATGGATATAATTCCACTGAAACATTATTGGAATCAAATGAAACACCTCCAGCGTAACCCAAAGGGAGAAAAAATACACTAAGACATAATCATAGATATAGAAAAGAAGAGAGTTGCTGAAAGATGAGTGACAATGAGAATTATATGAGACTGTAGGCTAAGATTACCTAGGCCAGAAAGAACCTATGCCATATGCAGAGAGAAGGGTATGCAGAAATATTAATCTGCAAAACTCATTTGGGGTAGCATTTAAATGATCCATCTTCTGATATATAAACCTTATGATTTGAAAAATCATAGCCTCTCTCTTGAGGCTTGAATCCAGTTGACATTCCTGGCTAGAGTTATGGGGCCCTACGGCCCTGCAGGGCCCAACCATTTGAGAGCAGACACAAAGTGAAGAAACAGGAAACATTAAGCTTCTAAGATTATGCATGGGTACATCAGCTAGCCCTATTACATTGCTTAGAGCCAATTAAAAGGAGATGAATGTAGCTTAGGCAAATCTGCATATCTGTATATGAAGAAAGGCACCATTTAACTAAATTGTAGATAAGTGTTCTGCATTCAAGGAGAGCCATCAAAATGGACTTCTACATTCTGAATTTTCACAATATCGGGAAAGAACAGGATGTTAGGAAACCTTTGAATGGACTGTACTGTGGCAATAGCAGTTCATTTTGTAGCTTGCAGTGGAGACAATGCATGATTTTCTTGGGGGGTCAGAGATGGCTGGCTAATCTCACACCATTTGTCTTTATACTGGTACCTGAATGGTTGGGGACTGTGTAGATACTGGAAATAATATGGCAGTTGGTGCTGCGATGAAAAGGTGATAAAATAAGATATACTCTCTGATGGGGACCTTGGGCCAGAGATATCCCCAAAGTTGAGGGATTAAAGAGACACATTTGCCACCAAGAGGGAGATCAAAGTGAATCCTTGGCAACAACAGGAAGGGTATGAAAGCCCCACGTGTGTTTGTGACGTCAAACTTTCTCATTTCTCCAGCCTTTCTATGCCATTGCACCCCAGTCAGAGAAGTAGAGATTAAGATGAAGGAGGGGAAAAATCTTGTGGAAATTATCTACATCTGCATTCTCTGCTGGATCTCTAAGCCTTCACAGAGGGAGGGCAAGGAATTCAATAACCAAGTGTAAGGTGGAGTTAGAACTAGACTTAATTGCCTCTGTAGGCCTGGAGTGAATAGAGCCCTATGAGCAGAGAGTCCTGAGACCCCTGGATATTAGGATCTGAACTATTGTCTATGCCTTTGGCTCTGTGGAATAGCAGACTGGAAGGTGCAACTTTCAGGCTAAATGTTATTCCTGCATAGCAAGGGATGTCCCTCTACTTCCCAAAGCTGAGGGGATGCTGATAATTGAAAACCAAGGGAACATCAGGAGCTACCCACCTGCTGAACCACAGTCTTCAGCCCTTGTAGTTGCTGCATTTTCTCCTGGATTGACTTGGATTTCTTCATGAAATTCATGTGAACCTTTGGCAAGTAAAATGCTTGGGCCATGAGGTGGCTCAGGCAATCATCCCAGGAGCACATCAAGTGCATCACCAGGATGATCAAGTCTTTCTCTTGAGCACCAGGTTGGAACATACCATAACACAAGTGACACACAGATATGTCAGTTACATGTGAGTTTGCTCAGAGAGGCCAACTGAAAAACTTATGGTATGTTCCAGTGTATGTAAACTTTTTCTGTAGATTATAGACATGCTTAAAATTTACAAGTTAAGCCACTGGCCTAAATATTGCTACAGCAAAACAAAGAAACATTTTTTTTGTAACTGGCTGATTAAAAGAAATACCTTTCTCATAGGATTTCTAATTCATAACAATTTCTCAATGTTGATTTCCCTATAGAGTTCCATGTTTTCATAAGGGAAAAATTAGCAGGATATAATATAGTAACTTTTTTGATTCCCTATTAACTTGATTTTGTTGTACTCTAAGAAAAATAGCTTCATTATATTTGTATCATAGCAAAATACCTGTAATGGCCTTACTGTATATGTGTTTTCCTTTTCCTTCTGGGTGACCAAATTGATATGTTAATCGACGCCGTCCTCTGTAAAGAATTGTAAAAATCTTACCTAATTGATATGTTGACCATTGTTGCCCTCTACAAATAACAGATGTGGTGCTAAGATAAGCTAATGAATTGTTAATTACTGCTAGACTTTTCTATTCTTTGCTGAGGATAACAGGATTTCTGCCTAATCTAAACTTGCTTGTATGCAGGGAGACTTGCTTGTTAGCACAACCCTTACCTGACCTTGTTCTTCTTGCCCAGAAAAGTAATCTCACCATATTTCTGTTCTGTAATGCACCATACTGCCTCCCCCTCCCTCTTCCCCCTCCCTATTTATCTAGGTAATTTCAATTTCCTGAAAAGCCATAAAAGCCTTAGGTTTCAGTATCTGGTAATCCCCTTCCCTTCCTGGTGGTGGTCCGTCATAAAATGTGCTAATTGCACTGTTCTTAAGAAATGCTTAATTTCAAAGAAATTACAGGAAGAATGTTATAGCTTAACCCTAACCAATGCACCTCCTCTTGTTCTGTAAGCACTGAAAGGGTTAAGTTCCAAATCCTTGTAAAAACTTAAGTTTCAGCTTCTTGTGAGTTTCTATCCCTTCTTACATGTCAGTGTTAATGAGCTGTCCTGAGATAATTAACCACCTCCCCACTTCAACATGTTATTGCTAAAAAGCTGTCCCAAAATAATTAACTTTCTACCTTCCTCTCCAAATGTTATTGCAGATGCGCTATTCCAAGATAATGCTTATCTGCAGAATGGGAGTAATTTGAAAGGCACCAGGCTCCCAAGTTTGTCAGAACTAAGTGGCTAGCTTTACAGTTTCCAGACTTGAGTCAACAGCTTAACAGCTCTGCGGGTCCCCCCCACCTGCTTTTAAAATCCCCTTCAGGCTCCCAAGTTTGTCAGAACTAAGTGGCTAGCTTTACAGTTTCCAGACTTGAGTCAACAGCTTAACAGATCTGCGGGTCCCCCCCACCTGCTTTTAAAATCCCCTTCTTCAGTCTCTGGGGTGTGCAGTCTTTGGGTTGATCCTGGAGAGACTGTGCCACCAGGCCTGGAAATAAAGCCTTTGCTCCCCAAATTTCAATCTCTTGCTTCCTTGTATTTTATTCCAGGGTCCAAGTTATCACAATTTGAAGACCTGTATTACCCCCACTATTTTGTTTTGACTGATTAGACTCTGTTCCATTCTGTTTGATAGTATGAAGTTTGAGTGTATAGGCATCTACTTTGAAGGCAATAAGGTTCACTATAATGCCCATTCTGGTTTGACTATTATCTTCTTTTGAAGTACTGTAATGTCTCCAATGTTTAGGTTTTATTGGTCCGTTCTGTACTGTTTTGTTCAATTTTTTATACCTAATGATATAGGCCATTCTTTTTAAGGTAGCATGAGGCATTGTGGTAACCATTGTTGACTACCTTTTACTCTGTTTTTACATCATGTGCTATGTCTACCCTTTGTTTTGACTGACTGCTTTGTTTTGTCATATTTGGTTTTATTCTCTTCCAAAAAAGTAATAAGAAGTATGGGAGTAATAAAACCCAAAATGTGTAAATGTTGTTGTTAAAAGAGAGGGGGAATTTTTTTTCTAAAGGATACAACTGCCAGTGTGTTTAGGTGTGTTAAGATAGATGACCAAATTACTAAATTTTTGTTGGATTATTGAACACAACTATTTGCAGTCTCACTTTTTGAATGTCGGCTTTGTATGCTTTAATCCTGTAACTTGAACAACTATTTCTAAAATTACAATATGTAATCTATTAACTAGTGATTTCTTACTTTTTTGAAATTCTGCATGTACAATTATACTTTATTTTTTCTCCTTTAATTTTTTTTTAAAATCCTGTTAACAGGGTGTCTATGGCAGAATATTTGAAAAGCACAATTTTAGCAGGAAAACATAGATCATGGATAAATTATTAAGGTTTGATAGGTTTGCTCTGCTATCATCCAAGAAGAGGACAGAGTCACATATGGCAGAGACCCTCAGGGTCTCTTCCTTGTCCTCACTTCAGTGGACTCAGGGTCATGGCAAGAGCAAGTGCGTACTGAAGGAGTGGGCACTTCAGGAGCAGAAGCAGAACAGGGAGATGCCAGTGCCATGGAAAAGGTCAGGGCAGCATGGTCAGGACTGGAACCACCACCCACACAGGAGCTATATTAACCTGCGCTGGGTAAGCAGCACCCACATTTCTTATGTAAAATCCTAGGTGTGGTGTGTTGGTTGAGATAAGATCACCTGCATTTCTAGCTTACAGATCTTGCACAGTGTTTATTCAGCACTGATTTTTCCCTGAGTATCCAGGTACAGTGTGATTGCTCTCACTGTTCCCTATCCCGCTGCTCTGCTCTGCAGTGTGGCTCCTGCCACCACAGACTATAGCGACCCTTAGAGCCTACATCCTGCAAACCCAGACACTGGCTCTTAGGTGCTGGTGGTGCTGGGCAGGAACTCACCTTCATCTTCAGGGTCTCTTCCTTGTCACCTGGGATGGCGATGGAGGCTGTGTGACACCTTTTCCTTAACACTGAAAATATGTCTATGTCGTGGGAGTACAGGGTTGTCTGGAACCAAAGGAAAATTCAGGGAGTTGGACTTGGAAGTGACAATAGGAATCTATCTGCTTAATGTGGTTACATCTAATGCTGTGTAATTGATTCCAAAAGAGAGCTGCAAAATATCTGAAAATACAGAGTTAGGACCTTACACTTTTACCTAATATTCCATTACCTGGAGAAATGCGTTGTTTCCCAACTAACTTTTGTGACTTCCCAGATTCTTTTTTTTTTTTTTTTTTTTGGTCTTTTTCGTTTTTATCGGTACCAGGGATTGAACTCACGACTGCCTGCTTGCAAGGCAGGCGCTTATGCCGCTGAGCTAAATCCCCAGCCCCAACCTCCCACATTCTTCTCTTTGCTATGCCTTTATTTTACAGCTTTCTTGTTACTACAAATGTGGAATGCAGCCATGAAATCAACAAAACTTCAAAATGTAACTGTGTTAAGTAACATTTTGCTCTAGCATTTTACCCAAATGTTGTGATACATGTGTGTCCATGTTTACCTATTTAACCTCTTATTTCTCCAGGATTCAAACTGGTATACTTTCCTTAAACAGATATAAAAAGTCACATTTTTCTTTCAGGTATCTCTTATTTCGCATACATCCAGCTTACCAGGTCATCATCAATTAAAAATATAAGTTTTTATTTTAAAAACATTAAGTCACAAAGCAGACAAAATGTTTGATAAAATCCTAAGAAACAGATTGAGATTAAACACCAATAGATTACAGAGATGAGAAACAAGTAAATTTTGTGAAAGTTGCAAAAGACTTTTAGGAAGATTTTTTATAACACTCAGAGCAATTCTGAAATGGCAAAAGTGAAGACAAAGATAAATAACAGAACTGTGTGATATGAATATATCACAAACATGGGACAGTTCTCTGTGCAGTCCTTTTGTGTCCTCAGCCCTAACCTGTCATCCAGTGCAACACTGATCTTGTAGGAGACAAAGCACACTGGTAAAACTGATTTACCTGGAAACAAGTTCACTGCTAATCCATATATTTCATTATCCCTTATTGTGGAAATCTTGGCCTCCTTGTATTTTGTGGTCTCAGAAAATTTAGATTTCTTTCCATCTTTGAACTTAAATTGAAATTAAGTTAATTTAGTTTGATTTTGTTTGATATACTCAGTTCTGCTCTGAACTGTTCTCATGTTTTGGGCATTTGTGGTGCACTCTGTGAGGAATGCCCATGGACTATCCCCACATGCTAGAGGAAGAAACTAGCATACTTCCTCAGGCCTAACAGTGACTAATGTCAGGAATATGCATTTTAAAAAGCCAGTTAAAGTAAGGAAAATCTTTTTTTTTATCTACAAATTTTTGTCAACCATAGATATCATAAACTCTGCTTCACCAGTATGTCATATTTTATTGGCTTTATGCTTTCTTTCAACACATCAATTAATATTACTTTAAATATCAGTGATAACGTTTTCATTTTGAATTGTACTCCTTATCCAGAATTTTTGGTACAGTTCCCTTTGAGAAGAAATGAAAAGAGTGCTACTTACAAAATCCTGGCACAGTTCTGAAGTGAGGACGTGGATATAGTCAGACAAAAGGGTTGCATGCTCAAGCAGACATGGCAGAGCAGTCCAGTGGCCCAGTTTACCAGTACAGTTAGGATGAGAGGCCACATTCTTCCACAGGAGCAGGCTTGACATCACCAGCAGCATCAAAAGTTACCCTGGTTAGACACACACCACTCTCAGTTATCAATTTTCCAAGTTCCCCAGAACATTCCTCACTTGGGAAGCCTTGTGTCTCCTGGGCATCTGACCTGATGCTGCACTCTAGGGAGGAGAAAATGTCTAAGGGGCACCTTCCAATGTGATGTGTATGTAGACAATTGTTCCTGCACAGAGACGAAGTTCAAAAAGGGAATTACTTCCTGGTGTTACATATTTCTTGGAAATGTATCAGAAAATTTAGTATACAACTACCTTAACTATCTTGTCCTTTACTGTGCATTCTCTTCCCACCCCATTCTAGGTTATCTTTCCTTTGCAACAGTTTCTTCCCATTTCACATTTTGGATTGCCCTACTGTTGTTTGGACAATTAAATACACATATTTTGTACTCTGAGTAACTTTTTAAATTATACCAACAAGCAGTGTATTAATCATTGTTTTCCTTCTATTAATTTGTTTTGAAATTTCATTTTTTGATTTCTCTTTGAAATAAAAAAGATCAATAAATAAGCCATGTAAACCTGTCAACTCTTGCCATTAGCTACATTTTCACACTAACCTATCCAGGATGGCAGTGAACCCAGCACTCATTGTTTGCTGCACATAACTTTTGCCTTGCATATATGTATTTACCTTATTTGTATGTTTCATACTCCACTCAGAGGAAACATGGAGGGGGCAGGAGCAAAGAAGCATATGATACATTTTATTGAACAACTCATCTCTTTACATATCAGTGCAACAACTGTTCCAGAGGGAAGGCATATGCTCAGGTTTTCATGGAGCACTCTTATCCTGCCTTTCTATGAAAAATTTTAAGAGTAGTTTGAATGTCAGTTGTTATGTCACTTGAGTTCTCACACTATTTGGGAAAAGAGAGTGCCAGACAACTTTACTTTGTCTCTACCCTGCTTTGCATCCTTAATGATATTGATATTATTGATATTCAGTATCTACCAAAGAAGCTATCTAGTAAAAGAGTTTTGAATCTGGACGAAGGATTTAAATTTGCAAAGCCAGTACATCACCATACTTAGGCATTATTCAAAATCTAGCACTCTTTAAATTAAGGCAACTAGAGATTGATTTTCAGAGATTTGAGTTTGCTTATCCTTTAGTCAGATTAATGCTGAATCACAAACAACATGCTTTTAAATGATGTAAAAATTAAAGATAGTGGAAAAAGTTTATATTTAATTTACTTTTCCCACTGGTATATTTCAGAGAAAGTAAGAGTAAAATTAAAAACACAAGCTGCTTTAGTTTAATGCATATAATTATTAGTGAAAATAATTAACAAATGCATTCTTATTCATTATATTCCCACCATTTAGAAATCTTTAAGTGGTGCACAAAATATTTAATCCAAAAAAGAAGACTTTTTTCACTTCAACATGGAGCAACTTGTGTCAGAGAGAGCAGATTACAATCAAATTACTGTTTTTTTGCCTCTCTCTTAGACAGTGACAGAAATTGACTAAAATTTTGGTTTATCACATTGTCTACCAGGTACTTATGAGTATATATGATCAAGAGCCCTGAAAAACTGCAGTGTTCCACCTACAAAATGTACTTTCTAAGTTTAATGGTTATATGTTCATATTAAAGTCATTTGTGACTATCATTAGCTGTGAAATGTCTTGTTTTTCTGCCTTCTTCATATACTTCCAAATTCCTCTAAATGAAATTACCTTTCTTGAATTTAACTTGAACATAGAATCACTGCTTTTTATTTTCTTTAAGCCTCTTTTCAAATCTATATGCAATGTCAATATACCTATGTTTACAAGAGAGAGGTAAGAAAAAGATGAAAATACCATACAAATAAGTTATTTTACATAGGACAAAATAGAATGTGTAAGGGCAAGGAAAAAGTTATATTTCCAAAAAAATAATGCAAGTAATTATAAAATTCTACTTTAAATCTTTATTTTATATCCCATAGAATGTAATACTTACATTTTTGATATTAATTCACATATGATTTTTGAAGGAAAAATTTGTATTTGACAGTACAATGAGTATTTCCTAGGTGAGATCCAATTCTATGCATTTAAGAAACTACAGAGAAATAAAAGTAAATTTAAAGTAAATGATCCCAAAATATATAGAGATATTCTAATCCACATTAGTCCCCAAAACTCACCTTAGTCATTTCTCTCATTTTCTTTTGAAGTAATCAAAATCCTTCATTAGTAACCTATATGCCTTATTTGAAATGAATAAGAATATTATACTTACTATATGAAACTTTAGCAATAATTTTGATGCAAAGAATAGAGGACCTGAACAGGAAGGAGAAGACATTATTAACTGTATGCATGTAAATGGGGAAGCTTGGATCATAATGTCTGATCTTGCAGGTGGGGCAGCCAGTCTTTTAGTGCCTCCTGTCATGTACACCACCATGGACATCAAGGGGAAAGGTATGCACTCCAGCTACAGGAGCAGCTCATTTCATCAACACTCTTGTGTGGTTTAATGTAAAATTTTAGCTAATCATACGATGTTTCAAGTTTATTAGTTGTGAATGATGTACAGTTTTATTTTTCTGTAAAGGAAGTGACAAGTCACAATAAAGTGATTCAGTGGTTGTCTTGGTTTGGATATTTGCATTGTCTCGCAATAGCTGAAGGATGTGTGCATGTGTTAGTGGATTTTATGCAGGCACAAAGAGGGTGCTTTTGGTGTCTCATGGGTGTAAGATAAGGTGCTGCTAAGCATTCTCAAATGCTCAGGACAGATGCCACAATCAAGAATTATATAGCACAAAAAGTCATAATGCAGAGTTTGAGATACTGTGAAACTCAAGAGCTAATGGATCTAATTTTCACTCTAACTCTAATCTTAATATAGATAATGATAATTTTAATTCTGAAATTTTAATGCAGAAAATAATGTTATTTGTGCATCTTTTACTGCTTTGTTACTTTCATTGAAGCCAAATGATTTTCAAAATAATAAGAACACTGGTGTTAATATCCTTTATTTTCTTAGAGGTTTTGCATAAAATTAGTACAATTTATAAATTTTGTATACTGTAAACACAGAATCATGCTTACTTTCTGGAATTATAGACTTTAAACACCAGTCTAAATTAACAAAATTCATAAAATTTGTATGCTATACACACAAAAATGTGTGTATTTTCTGGGACTGTAGACTATAAATACTTCTTCAATAACAAATGTGCAGAAAATGCATTCACAACCAAGGAACACTCACCCAGTTATGCATTTCCTGGGGCTCCAGTCTTAGCCTGTGTATCAACAGGGAATATTTGGTATGTGTGTATAATATCTCTAGCAATACCATATGAGTACAGCATAGTGTGTCATGAATGCTTTGGATTCATAGGTATTTCAGAAATGTATACTCTATGAATTAAATCGTATCACTTTAACTTTGCAACTAAAATATTATTGAGATACATTCTATTATAAATAATTTCAGGTATATTTAAATTTTTAAATGTTTTCTATTAATACATATCTAATATTTACCTATTATTTCTTGAAGCATTACAACTGTTTATCAATCATTCTGTGGAAATCAGTCTTCTGATTATTATATTATTGTATCAAGTTCCTCTGGCGTTGTTAGGGAAGATAAAAGATTATTTTATTTTATTTTTTGGGTCTTTTTCCTTTTTATTGGTACCAGGGATCGAACTCATGAATCCCTGCTTGCAAGGCAGGGGCTTATGCCGCTGAGCTAAATCCCCAGCCCCAAAAGATTTATTTTAATATGAAAACTCAATGCTACTTCATTTGTTTTGAGTGTATATTATTGATAAGGCTAATATGTTTACATCTTCTGAATAAAACAAAAAATGATGTATCCACCACTGATTGGTAGCAAAAACCTTTAAAATGGGAATTTTGTAAGTAAAGAAAATGGGTACTTTCTAGCTTTAGAGATCACTGTTACCCTTCTACAAAAACCAAAGTTTGTTCTTCTCAAGAATGACAATGACCTTTGCAAATACCGTGTCCCTGATCACAGAAGTAGGTCCTGCTGCACAGGTGCAGTCTTAGAACTCAGAGATGTTCAAGGTGTGACAAGTGAAGTGTGAACAAATGCATGGAATTATTATGGTGAGTTAACAGATCTGGGTATGACTTCATTTTTATGATAGGATTCTTTTCATACCAAATATCAGCAACCAAGTTCCTTGTTTCATGAAGAAGGAGGATGAAACATTCAGGTAAAACATGGTGTTTATGATTTAATATTTAGACACTCATATCTGTGAATGAGCTACAAAATTACAAACTCATAGAGATTCTGACTGGTAATATTGCACAGAAATTACCAGGATATTAAACCATTTTAGTCTTGAGTCAGCATTGGTTTTCTTTTCAAGTTTTTGCATTGTACAGAAGCACTTGTGGGAGTAATGTGAAACTTCAGGAATCAGTCACCTCTCAGAATGTGGAAACGTAGCAATTTGCCCAAAAGGACCAGAAAATGTTGGTTCTTCTTTAAGTTCTTACAGGACCAAATTGTACTTTGGAGATGGTGGAGATAGACAAGGCTTCCCGGCGGGATGGCTTGTGAAGACTTCGCATAATAGATCATCCCAGATGCTGTGGTTTTGTTTAAGCAAGGACTCTCCTACTGCTGGCCATGTCAACCCTGGTCCTGTGCCAGCATGTGGCTACCCATCCCATCTGTAAGATAATATCACATGACAGTTGATCTCCCTGGACCTGCTGAATAATGCAACCTACTTGACTGTGAGGATGCACTACTACTCTTCAGAAGTGTTCCTGGAATTTTTAAGTTTCTCACTTTCTGTCTCTTTGCAAAATGAAGCACCAGTGATTTTGCTATACTACCATAACTATGAAGAACTCGTCAATCAAATGTCAAATAATAAAAATTAACATGTTAAAAAAAGACATCAAAAATACTCTTGGATGAAGAAAAAGGAAGTCTTATGAAATCTCAAATTTTCAAAAAGTTAAAGATGCAATTTTTAAAA